CGCCATTTCTGCCTTTTGGCCGTACGTTCACTTTTAGTATGGTTTCCACGCAATCCTTTATAAATGAGACCCCAGGAACTGAAACCACTTTGGTGCAGTTTGTTGTTTAATAAAAGCTGCATCACATCATCTTCATCATCATCAGCTCTGAGTTTACCTGGATGAGGTAGGCGGCCGGGTTCCTCCTCTTCTCAAAGTGCTTCTGCCGGTGCTGCTCCTGGACCTTCAGGGCGAAGCCTGAACCCAGAATCCCCTGGTGAGATAAAACCAGTCCGATTGAGAAACTGGACCCACAAAAAAAACAACATCCTGTTGATTCAAGGCTAAAAAAGATTCTTCAGGTGAGAAATCCAGTTTTGATGAATGCTTCTTGCTGAAAACTTTACTTAGAGCTGCTGAAATTGAGCGGAAAATTTTTAATAGCAAAAGTGTTAATGTGAGTTCAATTTGAAAAACTGAAAGAAGCAGAATTATAGCTAAAATAGCAGAAAAAACTAATATTAGCAAATAAGAAGCTAAAAAAGAACAAGGTAGTTTAAAAGAAAAGAATCAAAAGTAAAACTGCAACATGCTGTAAAGATGAAGGCTGATTTTAAATTTATTTTAAAACTGATGTTACAACCAAAAACAGCCGATCTTTAGCTGTAGAAACTTACTGACCATCTATATTTACCTGTCAGGTTTGTCTACAGGTATAAATTACATTCATTTTAATAAATCTACACACTTTGCTGTAAAAACTTAAAACATGAACTTACTGCAGGCAGGGCGAAGAAGGAGATGCCGAGGAGGGCAAAGAAGGCGGACAGCATGCGTCCCGTCCACGTCTTCGGCGTTTTGTCTCCGTAACCGATGGTCGTCAAGGTGATCTGAGAAACCCAGTYATTGTTTATGAATAAAAGAAAGATCGAGGTTTAATTTGTGTGTTTTTTTCTGTTGGAACTGGTCAGTTCTGCTGAAGCTCTGTGATGTTTATGATTTATTTATGGTTATTAGTGAGGCTTTAAACTAGAGGCATCTGGTTTGTTTCCCTGTGAAAATAAAACTGGGTCATCTGAGGAAACAGAACCAAAACCTGTGGAGCCAGAAAGATTTAAATCAATGAAACAAACAGAACCGTCTGCAGATCCATCTGTCCACCTCTCTGTTTCTGCAGACGRTGAATTCTCTGATTGTCTTGTGAAAGGAGCCATTTTGGAGCCATTAGTAATCTTTGAGAAAATTAACCCTAATGAAGGCGAGTGGCCCGGAGGATTCTGGAGGGTTCTGGAGGAGCCGTCAGTGCTCAGAGGAAACTGAGCAGAGAGAGAGCGGGATCTGAAATCTGAATTAAAGTACTTCTGTTTTCAGCATCCAGTGCCGGTTCGGACTCACCATGCCCCACCACAATGCGTCAGCGTACGTCGCAAACTCCTTGTTGAACTTGTTCTCCACGAGGTAGATGAGGAACGAGGAGAAGATCAGAACCAGGAAGCCGATGTACCAGGCCGTGACCAGTTCCTGCAGGGAGAAATCAGAATAAACAGGTTTGTTGTTGTTGAGGCTCCCCGGGACCCGCTGCAGGAGCAGCAGGAGAAAACGTCAGCTGATTTTTCATATCTAAACCACAAYCTCCATAAACCTGAGGAACCAGAGATTAATCTACAGATCAACTAGACGCTGATGAAATGTTATCGTTTTCTGTGGCGCCCCCTTGTGGACAGCGCCCTCAGTGTTAGCCTACACCGCCTACACCAGGGGTTCTTAACCTTTTTGACCTTGGGGCCCAATTTATTGAACATAAAGAGACACGAGGCCCAGTCAGACAT